AGGGTATCAACTTGCTCAATATTGGACCCATTCACTGACAATTGAGACGGGTTCCATTTCTTAGTCTTGGTGAAAACTAAGATCTTAGATTTCAAAAAGTTGATCACCAAGCTTTCTTGAGAGCAATAGTTGGAGAAAGATTGCAAGGTCCTTTGCAGCCCAACCCTAGTTCGAGACCAGATCACAGCATTATCCGCATAAAACAGAATAGGTACACCAATCCCAGCTAATTTTGGTGGTTGGCAGCAGACATCAAAAACTGATGCTGCATTAAGTATAAGTTAAACAAGAAAGATGCCAATAAACATCCCTGGTTTACCCCCTTTACCAAATTGAATAGATTTGTTAAGTTCCCCTCATACCCACATCGTACTTGGGCAGTCAAACCTGAAAATAATAGCTGAATCATTCCTAGAAGTCTTTTATCCATATTAGTTTGATTTTGTTGCATAATCTCGGGTGATTTATAAAATCAAAGGCCCCCTTAAGATCAATGAAAGCCGCATATAATTGCCCTCCCTTAAAAGATGAATACTTCTCAGCCAAGGGATAAAGAACTAAGCTATGGTCATAAATTGAAGAACCTCACCTAAATCCTATCTGTTCATGTCTCAAAAGGGTTTCTGATTCCATCCAATGCAAGGGCTTCTTCAATAGGTATGTGGAATATAGCCTTCCTAGAGAAGAAAGAAGGCTGATTGGTCGGTGTTCCATAAATTTGTCCACTAATGTTAATATGAGTAAAAACTGGGGCCAAGACTGGGGCCCACCATTGAGGATCAGCCTTAAATAGCTTGTTAGGAATTACATCAGAGCTCAGTGCTTTTCCTAATTTTAATCTTTTGATAAGGCAAGTGACCTCCTTGGTTGATACTTTGGGCCAAGGAGTTGTTGCATTAAGAGGAATAATAGGAGATATAGTAGGCACATTTGCATCGGAGAATATCCCCTTAAAATAACTTTCCCATGACAGAGGGGCTATACAGCATGGGATTTTAGAGGTTGGATTTTTAGTAGTATTGATAGACCAAAAGGCCTTATTAACATTTCTATTAATAGCTGAGATAAAAAGTCCCCATTCCTTACTAAGGGCCATCCGTTTTCTTGTTTTGATCAGTTCTCTGTACATTTTTAGAAATTTCATCAACTCTCAAAGGACTGATATTGTACAATTACTTTTAAATTCGCAATGCTTCTGCTGAATATGCCTTTTCATTCTTTTACAACCACTGTTGAACCAACTATTCCTCTGAACTTCAAAAAGTGTCTTGTCAAGGTTCTTTTTTACAAAAAGGGGCCTGAACAGTTCTAATACCTCATCCAGGTTATGCAAACAGTTAAGCATTGAATCGGATTGCAAAAGCCTGTTGACTAAAGTGTTACAGGGGGCATAGGCCATTATGGTTTGAGCCTTGTCACTAGAGTTAAAACTCCAGTGTAATCGACAAACTTTATTTTGATTTTGGAAAAGAAAGAAGCTTTGTTCTGGAATACAACAGTATTATAAGGATAAACCTATAGAAAACATGACTGGGAGATGGTCACTTCCCATAAAGTCACCAACTTTTAGGAACTCAAAATCGGAGAGGTAATCAAGTGGGGCCAGGATATAATCTATTGCACTGGCTCCTTTGGGACTCATATAAGTCAAATCACCAGCTGCATCAGCCTTTGGGTAGCCATTCAATGGAGTAAAGTTTCTCTGAATTGTAAATTTAGCCAGCTCTAAACCATCCCTGTTTATTACAACATCCTTGGATTTTCTATAATGCCAAAGAGGGCTGGTGCTATGCTTTCAAATCCACACCATCTGCAGAGCACTTGAGCTCACTTTCTGTCTATTGCAACTACAGAACATTACTTGTTACTGTCGTTGTTATCTCTTTTGCCTGTTTCCAGACAGCCCAACCTCCCTAAACAGGGATAACAACAAGGAGGAATTCCAATTACAGTGCAGCATTAACAATTTCTGAGCCTACAACATAACCAAAAACTGCTGCAACATGTGTCCATCTAGTTGCTCTGGTGGGTGGTTGCCAAATATCTAATTCCAGCCTGGACACTATACAGTTACAAGCTGTATAACAGAAAGATGTTTGTGTTGGAGAAGTGACAGCCTACTAAGAGTTTAATTAGTGTAAATATTTCTGGAAGAGTAGTTTAGTCCACTTGTTCCTTAGGGGGAGCTCTGGAGCATTCTCTTGCAGTTCAGCCTACCTCTTGTTGTTTTCTCTCTCTGCCGTGTGTTAGTGTTTGTGTTCTGAAGGCCTCTCTATTTTATTAGTGGCCTGCAGTCAGTTATTGTATTTCTGAAAAATCCTGTTGCAGTAAATTCTTTTAAAGCAAAACTCCAAAGCATGGACTGGATTATTTTCAGAACTCTGAGAACTGGTTATGGGCCCAGTCCCCAGGATAAATTGCAAGAAAGCTATAACTGTGAGTCAGTAAGACAAAGGAGAGGCACGCCGAATCCAGAGGAAGATGGCAAGCAGTGCAGATTTTAAGTTTGCAGCGGCCAAACTAAATAATAGCAGTTATCAGTTGTGGAAGTTCAAACTGGAAATGCTGCTGTGCAAAGACGGCCTCTGGGATGTTTTAAGCACTGACAGATGAGCCAATGATCCTGAAGAATGGGACAAGAAAAACAGCAAGCAAAGGCAACTATAAGCCTGTTAGTGGAAGATGATCAGCTGATCCACATAAGGAAAGAAGAAACAGCTAACGGTATGTGGAATGCACTCCAGAAAGTGCATGAGTGTTCAAACATAAACAGCAAGCTATATCTGCTGCATAAACTGTATAAAATGACACTTGGTAGAGAATAAGATACGCATGAACATGTAAATGTCATGCTAGAAATTGTGGAACAGCTATGTGAGCTTGGAGAAGAAATGAAAGACAATCAGATAGTGGTGTTTTTACTGTGCAGTCTTCCAGAGTCCTATGGTCCATTTATCAATGCCCTTGAGACTAGACTGGAAGCACCTGAATATGTTAAGGGCAAATTAATGGATGAACATAATCGCAAAAAAGAACTACAAGCAGGTGAAGACACTGAAAAACCAGAAACAATGCTCAAGGTAAAAGAAGCAATAAAGCACGTGACAGAAACTAGGGTGTGATACTGCTGCAAAAGGGCCAGGCATCTGAAAAAGAATTGTTCAATTTGGAGAGCTAAACAGAGAGAACAAATCACACATCATCCAAAGAAAAGGCTAAGAAATCTGCAAGCGAATCTGTAAATGAAGAATGGAATGGATGTCTAAAGGCTACACAGAACAACATGTCAAGTTCAGGTGCCACAAGCCACATGACAAGCAATCAGGAATTCTTCTCAGATCTTGATCTCAGCACAAAGGAGATCTTCCTTGCAGATGGAAAAAGCATCACTGAAGAAGGAATTGGGTATGGATTCTTAAAGTGCCATGGGCCATCTAAAGGAACACAAACTCCTTGTGAAAAATGTCCTGTATGTTCCAGAACTGAAAGGAAGCCTTCTGTCTGTGAAGTGCCGCACCATTAATGGTCTTACAGAGAAATTTCAAAGAAACCAATGTAAAATGAAGAAGGGGGAAAAGGTTATACTCAGAGGAATTGTGAAGGAGCATCTGTATAAGCTTACTCTACGAAATGAGGAGGCTAGGATCACTAGACAAGTTTGTAAATGCAACTGCATCCACTGTAGCACAGACGTTGAGGACAGGCCTCTGGTCTATTAGTGGCCTGCAGTCAGTTATTGTCTTTTTGGAAAATCCTGTTGCAGTAAATTCTTTGAAAGCAAAACCTCCAAAGCATTGATTGGATTACTTTAAAACTCTGCCAACATTTGGACCACCACTTCCACCTATTACTGGAAAGCAGTGATTTGGAGAGTTCTACTTGTTACTCTGTAGCCTGTAAGTAGCACTTTCACAAGTACAAAATTTTGCTAAATAAACAGAGTTTTGAACTCTGCTCCCATCTGCTAACTCTCCCTTCCCCCACATTCACATAACTGGCAAAAACAGATTTTGGATCACACAGAGCACACATTTGCTGAGGTAATGTGTAGGTCTGTTCTCGACTCCAGAGGAGACCATTAAGAAGTAGGATAAATATCTATTTGCTGAACAATGTAATTAACGACCTGGATTATATAATCAATCTATTTATATTGTGAAACTGTTTGTAAGCCGCCCTAAGCCGCTTTGGCAGGAGGGCAGGGTAGAAATTTAATAAATAAATAATAAATAAAGTCAGAAAAATATATTTATCATTCTTTCATAACTTTATTGCAGAATAGGTTAAATAGCTCAATTGCATAAGTAATCTTAAGGATATGTCTCTGTTCCCGTTCTGGTGGCCCAAAATAATTTCTTTGATGGGCAAATCATACTGCCTATTCTATCCAGTCTATGGCAGGAGCACTTTGCTATTTGGGGGGAGGACGTTAATACACTGCCATTATTGTAAAATGTATGTAAATATTCACACCCTACTTTTATCCCTAATGGGGACCCAAAGCTGCTTATAACATCATTTCCCCTTCCATTTCAGTATCACCACCACCACCCTCTGAGGGAAATTAGACTGAAAAAGAGAAATTAATCCAATTTGCTTCTATGGCAGAGTGGGAACCCACATCTTCTAGATCCTAGTCCAAACTGTAAGCACTACACCATGCTGGCTCACAAGAGGCAAAGCTTTCCCAAGGCTGTAAAACTTCAGGCTGCAAGTGCAGGTTCACAATGTCTCACTGTTCCAGTTACCTAATAACAACTTCCTAGACACAGAAAGTTAGATAGACAGATTTTAGCCTCAAAAGTGTCTTTTCTATCTCCAGAGAGCTTTTTCACTGGGAAGTATTCAGACATGGAACTTCTGGTCTGAAATGGTATAGCCCTAGCAAAACTTTAGCACTTAGTTATCAGGAGGAGTACATAAAATGTTGGGCATGATGCGGGAAGAGGAATAAAATGAGGCAGGAGAAGGAAAATTCAGAGATCAGATTTATACTGTACCTGCTCCCACCAGCAGCATCTTGGGTGCACAGCTGCTGATGCAGTGCAGGAGGGACCTGGAGCGGATGTTGAAATTGAGGAAAGCCACAACACAGCCCAGCTTGGTCAGACCAAACCATGAGTGGATGAAATCTGGCTCATTGCTCATCAGCAGGGCTACAGTGTCTCCTCTTTTCAGGGTCCCTTCTTTGAGGAAAAGTCGGGCTATCCTGTTACTCCTCCTGTCCACAGCCCCGTACGTGTGAACCTTCCCTTCATATATCAGGAATGGTTTACTGGGCTGCTTTTCAGCCAGCTTCACAAAGTTGTCCAGCACGGAACAAATCCTGCCCTGCAATCTGTAAGTCTCCACAGTCAACCCATACTTCACCACTTTCAGCAAGAATTTCAGGTCAGCCCAAAAGTAAGGGAAGAAGATCTTCTGCAGGAGGTGCAGGGAGATGAGTCCAGCTGCCACTCCGGCTACCCAGAAGGGTAACATTGGCTCAGCTGCAGCAAAACAGAGCCGAGCACGAGTGGTAACTCTTCACGCAGCCACCCCACCCCCCCACACCACCTCTCCCGAGATAAGAAAAAGCGTCTCAGACTGTCTAGAAGCAACTCAGATGAATCCAAACAAACTAAAAGAATATCCGCAGAGGGGGGCTGGAGCTCTCAAAACAAGGTAACAGGTGGCAAAGGGCGTTGTGAGACAGTCGTCTCTGCCCTCCCACCGTGAAGGCTTCACGGGCTCCAGCCACTCAGAGAGAGCCTCTGTGCTGTCCCCCAGCAGAGATCAGAATAGTAAAGCATAGCAAATTGTTTACTGTATCTTTAAAAATATAATGAATTCTGGGAACTGTAGTTCTAGCAACAACAGGGTCGGTAGGTCTGAAGCAGCGTTCCTGATTGGTTCTATATTGCTCCCTATTCCTGTAATAAACTAGCCCCCGAAAGTAGGTTTTACTGTCCTTTTCCTCCCGTTGTTCTGTAAATCACTAGGTAGACTCTGGACTTTAAGATGCTCGTATCAGCCACCGGAAAATGGGACGTGAGTAAACTGATCCCTTCGATGCTTAAGGGTCTGGGTAAAAGTCGGATCTAAACGGTTAAGAGCTAAATAAAGGGTGATTCTAAGCTTGAGTGTTGTGGCCCGTTGAACTGGAGTTGCAAAGAAAAGCAGGAGACTGAAATTACCCTCTCCCAATTAGCCTCGGGGAGAGAGATTGCATGTATGTCGCCCTGCCTGCCTGCCTGCCTGCCTGCCTGCCTGCCTACCATCAAAGTTCCTTTACTGTGTGTGAAATTCTAGAGGAGCTCCCCTCCCAGAGCCAGCATTACAATGTAAACAGCTTGCACTTTTGCGTTTTTCTTCCTCTGCCTCCTGCAAGCTCCTTTTGGCAGCAAGCCTCGCTTTCCTAACTACAGCTTCTGAGTTCTTCCAAGCACAAGAGCTGCTCCTTCCCCCCACCCATCGCAGACACTATGCCCCCTCCCTCCCTGCTTCCAGCTCTATTTCCATGCAGGCCAGCCAAGTTTCTCCAAGTGGCACAGTCGAGAGCTTGGCCCCTGCTTCTTCTGACTGCTTAGTACACAGAAAGCAAGCTCTCAAAAGAGGGAAAAGGACTGCATACTGCAAAAGTCCCACAGCTAAATGGGACCCCAAGCATCAGTTTTTCCCAAAGAGATGTCAGCAACAAGCATTAAGAAGCAAAGCACTGCGAGACAAGTTAGTGAGGAAGCACAGTAGAGACATCTGGTGGCGAACATTGGGAATTACAAGAAGAGCAATTTTGGTGCTAGTCTATGATGAACTCAAGATCAAAAAACTAAGACCACAGAAATGGTTCTTTGGTTATTTTCAGAGCAAGAAAAAGAACAAGGAACTGGTAGGCCCATTGAGGGGAGAGGAAAGTGATGAAAAGAGGGCAGAACTTGTCACTCCTGATCTGTCAACCACTTCCTTTTATCTTTCCCAACCCGACTGCTCAGCAATTTCATTGAGTGCCCATGAGTTCTTGTATTGTGAGAAAGGCAGAAAAGTACTTCTTTCTCTACCTGCTCTATCCCATGCATAGTCTTGTAAACCTCAATCATGTCACCCCTCAGTCGGTGTTTCTCCAAGCTAAAGAGCCCCAAGCACTTTAACCTTTCTTCACAGGGAAAGTGTTCCAACCCTTTTATCATTCTAGTTGCCATTTTCTGCACTTTTTCCAATGCTATAATATCCTTTTTGAGGTGTGGTGACCAGAATTGCACACAGTACTTCAAATGACGTTGCACCATTGATTTATACAGGGGCAATATGATACTGGCTGATTTGTTTTCATTTCCCTTCCTAATAATCCCCAGCATAGCGTTGGCCTTTTTTATTGCAGTTGCACACTGTCTCGACATTTTCAGTGAGTTATCTACTACAACTCCAAGATCTCTCTCTTGGTCAGTCTCTGTCAGTTTGGACCCCATCAATATTTATGTATAGTTAGGATTTTTGGCCCCCATGTGCATCACTTTGCACTTGGCCACATCGAACCCCCTTTGTCACATTGACGCCCGCTCACCCATCCTCGACAGACCCCTTTGGAATGCCTCACAATCCTCCCTGGTTTTCACCACCCTGAACAATTTTATGTCATCCTCAAATTTAGCCACTTCATTGCTTACTCCCAACTCCAAATCATTAATGAACAAGTTAAAAAGCATCAGACCCAGTACTGAGCCCTGCAGTACCCCACTGCTTACCACCCTCCACTGTGAAAACTGTCCATTTATACTCACTCTCTGTTTCCTATTAATTAGCCAGTTTTTGATCCACAAAAGAACTTGTCCTTTTATCCCATGACTATTGAGCTCACTTAGGAGCCTTTGATGAGGAACTTTATCAAAGGCTTTCTGGAAGTCAAGGTAAACAACATCTATTGGGTCCCCTTTGTCCACATGTTTGTTCACCCCCTCAAAGAACACTAACAGGTTAGTGAGACAAGATCGTCCCTTACAGAACCCATGCTGAGTCTTCCTCAATAGTTTTTGTTCATCAATGTGCCTACTAATTATTTCATCAATAACAGTTTCCACCAACTTATGTGGTATTGACTTCAGACTGACTGGCCTCCTCTGGAACCCTTTTTAAAGATGGGGGTGACATTAGCTACCTTCAGTCCTCCGGAATGGAGGCAGATGTTAATGAAAGATTGCATATTTTTGTCAAGAGATCCACAAGTTCACATTTGAGTTCTTTCAGAACTCTCGGATGTATGCCATCCGGGGCATGGTAATTTATCAGTTTTTGTCTATCAGTCATAGGACCTCCTCTCTCATCACCTCAATCTGACTCAGGTCTTTCAACACCCCTCCCAAAATCAGTGGTTTTGGAGTGGGCAAGCACTTCTCATTTTCCACAGTGAAGACAGAAGCAAAAAATGCATTCAGCTTCTCAGCCATTTCCCGGTCATCCTTCAGTAATCTCCCTATTATCCTTCAGTAATCTCATCATACCAAAGCGTCTCACAAGCCCTGCCACTCTATCACCCCTAGTCATTTGTCTTGCAGGCATAAGACAAACACCATGGAGTTAGTTAAGGTGAAGGTCAATGCCGCGGTGGCAGCCAAGAGAGTGGAGTTTGCCAAGAAGGAAGAAAACCTGAGTAGAGAAGTTGCCAAATTACAGGCAGAAAAGGATAAGAGGGAGGCGATGATAAAGTCGCTCCACAAGGAACTTAAGGCTGAGGAAATGGCTGCTTGTGCCAAGATTCTACAAGATGGATACAGGGATGCAGAGTTGCAATTCAGCACAGCTGGGGGATCTGAAACCCACTCAGGTACTCAACCCCACAGCACCAGAGTTCATTGGGTCACAGATGACACCTGCGGTTCCTCCAGTGCCAACTGCAGCTCCCACAAAGGCATACATGGGTCCTGCACCAATGCCCCCGGATCAAGGGCTTCCCTACTCCTGTTACTTCAGTAGGTGCACAGCACCTCCGAACATCAGATGGAACCTGACTGAAAGAGGCATTCAGAAGTTTTCAGATTATCCAGAGAACTACTTCCTTTGGAAGATGACCTTCTTGGGAGCGATTGGGGACATAAACCTACATGTAGATGAGCAACTCATGCTCTTGGCAGAGTGGCTGGGTCCAGAGTTCGTGGAGCAAGCAAGAGACTTCCACTCAGCAAATGTGGCAGATCCAGACACAGCCTTGAAATGGGTTTGGACAAGACTTGATGACCACTACGGATCACTGATGGCAATCAAAACTGCACTCATGAAAAAATTGAAAAAAATACCCATAATAACAGCCAAAAACCCTGAGAAGCTATGGGCCTTGGCTGATCTCCTTTCAAACCTACAGGCGGCCAAAGATAACTCGGTATTAGCAGGGCTCGCAAGTCTCGACCAATGCACGGAACATCTGGAGATCAAGGAGAAGTTACCCCCTCTGCTGCAGGAGAAGTGGGGTGAAGCAGTGGCCAATTACAAGGCTGCCTTGTCAGGGCAAGTGCCCTTCCTTCTCATACCTCATAACTGAGTCAGCAAAGGTTTGTAATGATCCCCGGTGTGGATGGTCTACAATCTGCTTAGACTCTCACATTGAGAAAAAACCTCTATGACACACTAAAGCTAAAACAGTGGTATCTGTGAGGAAGACAGAAGTATCCACTATCCTGGCAAAACCTAAAAGGGAGAGACCATCGAACCAGAAGCCAATAAAGCCAACAGAGACAACAGAGCCATTTTGTCCATTTCACAAGAAGCTGCAACTACTGAACAAATGCAGAGAGTTTGGAATGAAACCACTGGAGAAGTGGAAGGTTTTGGTCAAGGAGTTATGCTTCAAGTTCTGCATGTGCAAGAACCACAAAGCTAAGGACTGCAAAGCTGTTACCAAGTGTCATGTTTGTGAAAGCAATAAGCACCCCGCAGCCCTGCATCCAGACTCCAATTTACCACAGGAACCCATGCCTAGCTCTTCTACCAAAACAACCTCCGCAGAAGCAGTGAGTACTCACACTCAGCCCATTGGTGCCCACTGGTTCTTACTCAGGTTTGTAGTGCCAAGAAAGGTCAAAGGCCCTGCTATCAAATATATCTTGACAGGGGAGACGTTTCCAGTCGTCGACGAGAGCAGGCGTGAGTCAACTAGTAGCTTGCATATGCTTCATTCCTTACAGTCTTTAAGGGCCTTTTCAACACCCTCCAAGAGTTCTTTCGGAGGAGGAACTCAAGCAAAAAACTTTCTTCAAATAACAGGCAGAACAGGCAATTCTGTCTGTGAAGTTTGGAGCTGCTTTGAGACGAAAGACTGTGGAGGATGCCCAACCTATAGACAAGCAATAGCCGAGACAGAGGGAGCCAACAGAGTCAACAGCAAGACACTTCAGTGAAAACCTACCAACCTATCAAACGAAGCTAAGTATTGGTTAAAATTCCAATAGGGAAGAATCTTAAAAAACAATTAAATAAGATATTGCTTAAACTATTAAGGGAAAATTTAGGGATAT